CGATGTTATATGTTCACTAGAATCTAATTTGAAGCGTCTGGAGTGTGAATGGATAATCTTCATTGAAGAGCCCACAAATGAATCACAACTGTGATTTCTCATAGTTATTCGTGTCTGGGTCACTGCTAACCCAACGAACAACGAGGCTGCATGTGCAAGCGCTCATATTGATAGTAAGTAGTATGTTAACGGGTGGACAAAATTTCCCCGGAAGCACACGACCGGTTTCGCGGTTGTTGCCGCTCATCAGGTATGCGTACCCGGTACTCCTCTGCCCACTCGTCTTCATACTTGTACACTCCGATGTTATATGTTCACTAGAATCTAATTTGAAGCGTCTGCAGTGTGAATGGATAATCTTCATTGAAGAGCCCACAAATGAATCACAACTGTGACTTCTCATAGTTATTCGTGTCTGGGTCACTGCTAACCCAACGAACAACGAGGCTGCATGTGCAAGCGCTCATATTGATAGTAAGTAGTATGTTAACGTGTGGACAAAATTTCCCCGGAAGCACACGACCGGTTTCGCGGTTGTTGCCGCTCATCAGGTATGCGTACCCGGTACTCCTCTGCCCACTCGTCTTCATACTTGTACACTCCGATGTTATATGTTCACTAGAATCTAATTTGAAGCGTCTGGAGTGTGAATGGATAATCTTCATTGAAGAGCCCACAAATGAATCACAACTGTGATTTCTCATAGTTATTCGTGTCTGGGTCACTGCTAACCCAACGAACAACGAGGCTGCATGTGCAAGCGCTCATATTGATAGTGAGTAGTATGTTAACGTGGCGACAAAATTTCCCCGGAAGCATACGACCGGTTTCGCGGTTGTTGCCGCTCATCAGGTATGCGTACCCGGTACTCCTCTGCCCACTCGTCTTCATACTTGTACACTCCGATGTTATATGTTCACTAGAATCTAATTTGAAGCGTCTGGAGTGTGAATGGATACTCTTCATTGAAGAGCCCACAAACGAATCACAACTGTGATTTCTCATAGTTATTCGTGTCTGGGTCACTGCTAACCCAACGAACAACGAGGCTGCATGTGCAAGCGCTCATATTGATAGTAAGTAGTATGTTAACGTGTGGACAAAATTTCCCCGGAAGCACACGACCGGTTTCACGGTTGTTGCCGCTCATCAGGTATGCGTACCCGGTACTCCTCTGCCCACTCGTCTTCATACTTGTACACTCCGATGTTATATGTTCACTAGAATCTAATTTGAAGCGTCTGGAGTGTGAATGGATAATCTTCATTGAAGAGCCCACAAATGAATCACAACTGTGATTTCTCATAGTTATTCGTGTCTGGGTCACTGCCAACCCAACGAACAACGAGGCTGCATGTGCAAGCGCTCATATTGATAGTAAGTAGTATGTTAACGTGTGGACAAAATTTCCTCGGAAGCACACGACCGGTTTCGCGGTTGTTGCCGCTCATCAGGTATGCGTACCCGGTACTCCTCTGCCCACTCGTCTTCATACTTGTACACTCCGATGTTATATGTTCACTAGAATCTAATTTGAAGCGTCTGGAGTGTGAATGGATAATCTTCATTGAAGAGCCCACAAATGAATCACAACTGTGACTTCTCATAGTTATTCGTGTCTGGGTCACTGCTAACCCAACGAACAACGAGGCTGCATGTGCAAGCGCTCATATTGATAGTAAGTAGTATGTTAACGTGTGGACAAAATTTCCCCGTAAGCACACGGCCGGTTTCGCGGTTGTTGCCGCTCATCAGGTATGCGTACCCGGTACTCCTCTGCCCACTCGTCTTCATACTTGTACACTCCCATGTTATATGTTCACTAGAATCTAATTTGAAGCGTCTGGAGTGTGAATGGATAATCTTCATTGAAGAGCCCACAAATGAATCACAACTGTGATTTCTCATAGTTATTCGTGTCTGGGTCACTGCTAACCCAACGAACAACGAGGCTGCATGTGCAAGCGCTCATATTGATAGTAAGTAGTATGTTAACGTGTGGACAAAATTTCCCCGGAAGCACACGGCCGGTTTCGCGGTTGTTGCCGCTCATCAGGTATGCGTACCCGATACTCCTCTGCCCACTCGTCTTCATACTTGTACACTCCGATGTTATATGTTCACTAGAATCTAATTTGAAGCGTCTGGAGTGTGAATGGATAATCTTCATTGAAGAGCCCACAAATGAATCACAACTGTGATTTCTCATAGTTATTCGTGTCTGGGTCACTGCTAACCCAACGAACAACGAGGCTGCATGTGCAAGCGCTCATATTGATAGTAAGTAGTATGTTAACGTGTGGACAAAATTTCCCCGGAAGCACACGACCGGTTTCGCGGTTGTTGCCGCTCATCAGGTATGCGTACCCGGTACTCCTCTGCCCACTCGTCTTCATACTTGTACACTCCGATGTCATATGTTCACTAGAATCTAATTTGAAGCGTCTGCAGTGTGAATGGATAATCTTCATTGAAGAGCCCACAAATGAATCACAACTGTGACTTCTCATAGTTATTCGTGTCTGGGTCACTGCTAACCCAACGAACAACGAGGCTGCATGTGCAAGCGCTCATATTGATAGTAAGTAGTATGTTAACGGGTGGACAAAATTTCCCCGGAAGCACACGACCGGTTTCGCGGTTGTTGCCGCTCATCAGGTATGCGTACCCGGTACTGCTCTGCCCACTCGTCTTCATACTTGTACACTCCGATGTTATATGTTCACTAGAATCTAATTTGAAGCGTCTGGAGTGTGAATGGATACTCTTCATTGAAGAGCCCACAAATGAATCACAACTGTGATTTCTCATAGTTATTCGTGTCTGGGTCACTGCTAACCCAACGAACAACGAGGCTGCATGTGCAAGCGCTCATATTGATAGTAAGTAGTATGTTAACGTGTGGACAAAATTTCCCCGGAAGCACACGACCGGTTTCGCGGTTGTTGCCGCTCATCAGGTATGCGTACCCGGTACTCCTCTGCCCACTCGTCTTCATACTTGTACACTCCGATGTTATATGTTCACTAGAATCTAATTTGAAGCGTCTGGAGTGTGAATGGATACTCTTCATTGAAGAGCCCACAAATGAATCACAACTGTGATTTCTCATAGTTATTCGTGTCTGGGTCACTGCTAACCCAACGAACAACGAGGCTGCATGTGCAAGCGCTCATATTGATAGTAAGTAGTATGTTAACGGGTGGACAAAATTTCCCCGGAAGCACACGACCGGTTTCGCGGTTGTTGCCGCTCATCAGGTATGCGTACCCGGTACTCCTCTGCCCACTCGTCTTCATACTTGTACACTCCGATGTTATATGTTCACTAGAATCTAATTTGAAGCGTCTGGAGTGTGAATGGATACTCTTCATTGAAGAGCCCACAAATGAATCACAACTGTGATTTCTCATAGTTATTCGTGTCTGGGTCACTGCTAACCCAACGAACAACGAGGTTGCATGTGCAAGCGCTCATATTGATAGTAAGTAGTATGTGAACGTGTGGACAAAATTTCCCCGGAAGCACACGACCGGTTTCGCGGTTGTTGCCGCTCATCAGGTATGCGTACCCGGTACTCCTCTGCCCACTCGTCTTCATACTTGTACACTCCGATGTTATATGTTCACTAGAATCTAATTTGAAGCGTCTGGAGTGTGAATGGATAATCTTCATTGAAGAGCCCACAAATGAATCACAACTGTGATTTCTCATAGTTATTCGTGTCTGGGTCACTGCTAACCCAACGAACAACGAGGCTGCATGTGCAAGCGCTCATATTGATAGTAAGTAGTATGTTAACGTGTGGACAAAATTTCCCCGGAAGCACACATGACCGGTTTCGCGGTTGTTGCCGCTCATCAGGTATGCGTACCCGGTACTCCTCTGCCCACTCGTCTTCATACTTGTACACTCCGATGTTATATGTTCACTAGAATCTAATTTGAAGCGTCTGGAGTGTGAATGGATAATCTTCATTGAAGAGCCCACAAATGAATCACAACTGTGACTTCTCATAGTTATTCGTGTCTGGGTCACTGCTAACCCAACGAACAACGAGGCTGCATGTGCAAGCGCTCATATTGATAGTAAGTAGTATGTTAACGGGTGGACAAAATTTCCCCGGAAGCACACGACCGGTTTCGCGGTTGTTGCCGCTCATCAGGTATGCGTACCCGATACTCCTCTGCCCACTCGTCTTCATACTTGTACACTCCGATGTTATATGTTCACTAGAATCTAATTTGAAGCGTCTGGAGTGTGAATGGATAATCTTCATTGAAGAGCCCACAAATGAATCACAACTGTGACTTCTCATAGTTATTCGTGTCTGGGTCACTGCTAACCCAACGAACAACGAGGCTGCATGTGCAAGCGCTCATATTGATAGTAAGTAGTATGTTAACGGGTGGACAAAATTTCCCCGGAAGCACACGACCGGTTTCGCGGTTGTTGCCGCTCATCAGGTATGCGTACCCGGTACTCCTCTGCCCACTCGTCTTCATACTTGTACACTCCGATGTTATATGTTCACTAGAATCTAATTTGAAGCGTCTGGAGTGTGAATGGATAATCTTCATTGAAGAACCCACAAATGAATCACAACTGTGATTTCTCATAGTTATTCGTGTCTGGGTCACTGCCAACCCAACGAACAACGAGGCTGCATGTGCAAGCGCTCATATTGATAGTAAGTAGTATGTTAACGTGTGGACAAAATTTCCCCGGAAGCACACGACCGGTTTCGCGGTTGTTGCCGCTCATCAGGTATGCGTACCCGGTACTCCTCTGCCCACTCGTCTTCATACTTGTACACTCCGATGTTATATGTTCACTAGAATCTAATTTGAAGCGTCTGGAGTGTGAATGGATACTCTTCATTGAAGAGCCCACAAATGAATCACAACTGTGATTTCTCATAGTTATTCATGTCTGGGTCACTGCTGACCCAACGAACAACGAGGCTGCATGTGCAAGCGCTCATATTGATAGTAAGTAGTATGTTAACGTGTGGACAAAATTCCCTCGGAAGCACACGACCGGTTTCGCGGTTGTTGCCGCTCATCAGGTATGCGTACCCGGTACTCCTCTGCCCACTCGTCTTCATACTTGTACACTCCGATGTTATATGTTCACTAGAACCTAATTTGAAGCGTCTGGAGTGTGAATGGATAATCTTCATTGAAGAGCCCACAAATGAATCACAACTGTGATTTCTCATAGTTATTCGTGTCTGGGTCACTGCTAACCCAACGAACAACGAGGCTGCATGTGCAAGCGCTCATATTGATAGTAAGTAGTATGTTAACGTGTGGACAAAATTTCCCCGGAAGCACACGACCGGTTTCGCGGTTGTTGCCGCTCATCAGGTATGCGTACCCGATACTCCTCTGCCCACTCGTCTTCATACTTGTACACTCCGATGTTATATGTTCACTAGAATCTAATTTGAAGCGTCTGGAGTGTGAATGGATACTCTTCATTGAAGAGCCCACAAATGAATCACAACTGTGATTTCTCATAGTTATTCGTGTCTGGGTCACTGCTAACCCAACGAACAACGAGGCTGCATGTGCAAGCGCTCATATTGATAGTAAGTAGTATGTTAACGGGTGGACAAAATTTCCCCGGAAGCACACGACCGGTTTCGCGGTTGTTGCCGCTCATCAGGTATGCGTACCCGGTACTCCTCTGCCCACTCGTCTTCATACTTGTACACTCCGATGTTATATGTTCACTAGAATCTAATTTGAAGCGTCTGGAGTGTGAATGGATAATCTTCATTGAAGAGCCCACAAATGAATCACAACTGTGATTTCTCATAGTTATTCGTGTCTGGGTCACTGCTAACCCAACGAACAACGAGGCTGCATGTGCAAGCGCTCATATTGATAGTAAGTAGTATGTTAACGTGTGGACAAAATTTCCTCGGAAGCACACGACCGGTTTCGCGGTTGTTGCCGCTCATCAGGTATGCGTACCCGGTACTCCTCTGCCCACTCGTCTTCATACTTGTACACTCCGATGTTATATGTTCACTAGAATCTAATTTGAAGCGTCTGGAGTGTGAATGGATAATCTTCATTGAAGAGCCCACAAATGAATCACAACTGTGATTTCTCATAGTTATTCGTGTCTGGGTCACTGCTAACCCAACGAACAACGAGGCTGCATGTGCAAGCGCTCATATTGATAGTAAGTAGTATGTTAACGTGTGGACAAAATTTCCCCGGAAGCACACGACCGGTTTCGCGGTTGTTGCCGCTCATCAGGTATGCGTACCCGGTACTCCTCTGCCCACTCGTCTTCATACTTGTACACTCCGATGTCATATGTTCACTAGAATCTAATTTGAAGCGTCTGCAGTGTGAATGGATAATCTTCATTGAAGAGCCCACAAATGAATCACAACTGTGACTTCTCATAGTTATTCGTGTCTGGGTCACTGCTAACCCAACGAACAACGAGGCTGCATGTGCAAGCGCTCATATTGATAGTAAGTAGTATGTTAACGGGTGGACAAAATTTCCCCGGAAGCACACGACCGGTTTCGCGGTTGTTGCCGCTCATCAGGTATGCGTACCCGGTACTGCTCTGCCCACTCGTCTTCATACTTGTACACTCCGATGTTATATGTTCACTAGAATCTAATTTGAAGCGTCTGGAGTGTGAATGGATAATCTTCATTGAAGAGCCCACAAATGAATCACAACTGTGATTTCTCATAGTTATTCGTGTCTGGGTCACAGCTAACCCAACGAACAACGAGGCTGCATGTGCAAGCGCTCATATTGATAGTGAGTAGTATGTTAACGTGGCGACAAAATTTCCCCGGAAGCATACGACCGGTTTCGCGGTTGTTGCCGCTCATCAGGTATGCGTACCCGGTACTCCTCTGCCCACTCGTCTTCATACTTGTACACTCCGATGTTATATGTTCACTAGAATCTAATTTGAAGCGTCTGGAGTGTGAATGGATACTCTTCATTGAAGAGCCCACAAACGAATCACAACTGTGATTTCTCATAGTTATTCGTGTCTGGGTCACTGCTAACCCAACGAACAACGAGGCTGCATGTGCAAGCGCTCATATTGATAGTAAGTAGTATGTTAACGTGTGGACAAAATTTCCCCGGAAGCACACGACCGGTTTCACGGTTGTTGCCGCTCATCAGGTATGCGTACCCGGTACTCCTCTGCCCACTCGTCTTCATACTTGTACACTCCGATGTCATATGTTCACTAGAATCTAATTTGAAGCGTCTGGAGTGTGAATGGATAATCTTCATTGAAGAGCCCACAAATGAATCACAACTGTGATTTCTCATAGTTATTCGTGTCTGGGTCACTGCTAACCCAACGAACAACGAGGCTGCATGTGCAAGCGCTCATATTGATAGTAAGTAGTATGTTAACGTGTGGACAAAATTTCCCCGGAAGCACACGACCGGTTTCGCGGTTGTTGCCGCTCATCAGGTATGCGTACCCGGTACTCCTCTGCCCACTCGTCTTCATACTTGTACACTCCGATGTTATATGTTCACTAGAATCTAATTTGAAGCGTCTGGAGTGTGAATGGATAATCTTCATTGAAGAGCCCACAAATGAATCACAACTGTGATTTCTCATAGTTATTCGTGTCTGGGTCACTGCTAACCCAACGAACAACGAGGCTGCATGTGCAAGCGCTCAGATTGATAGTAAGTAGTATGTTAACGTGTGGACAAAATTTCCCCGGAAGCACACGGCCGGTTTCGCGGTTGTTGCCGCTCATCAGGTATGCGTACCCGATACTCCTCTGCCCACTCGTCTTCATACTTGTACACTCCGATGTTATATGTTCACTAGAATCTAATTTGAAGCGTCTGGAGTGTGAATGGATAATCTTCATTGAAGAGCCCACAAATGAATCACAACTGTGACTTCTCATAGTTATTCGTGTCTGGGTCACTGCTAACCCAACGAACAACGAGGCTGCATGTGCAAGCGCTCATATTGATAGTAAGTAGTATGTTAACGTGTGGACAAAATTTCCCCGGAAGCACACGACCGGTTTCGCGGTTGTTGCCGCTCATCAGGTATGCGTACCCGGTACTCCTCTGCCCACTCGTCTTCATACTTGTACACTCCGATGTTATATGTTCACTAGAATCTAATTTGAAGCGTCTGGAGTGTGAATGGATACTCTTCATTGAAGAGCCCACAAATGAATCACAACTGTGATTTCTCATAGTTATTCGTGTCTGGGTCACTGCTGACCCAACGAACAACGAGGCTGCATGTGCAAGCGCTCATATTGATAGTAAGTAGTATGTTAACGTGTGGACAAAATTTCCCCGGAAGCACACGACCGGTTTCGCGGTTGTTGCCGCTCATCAGGTATGCGTACCCGGTACTCCTCTGCCCACTCGTCTTCATACTTGTACACTCCGATGTTATATGTTCACTAGAATCTAATTTGAAGCGTCTGGAGTGTGAATGGATACTCTTCATTGAAGAGCCCACAAATGAATCACAACTGTGATTTCTCATAGTTATTCGTGTCTGGGTCACTGCTGACCCAACGAACAACGAGGCTGCATGTGCAAGCGCTCATATTGATAGTAAGTAGTATGTTAACGTGTGGACAAAATTTCCCCGGAAGCACACGACCGGTTTCGCGGTTGTTGCCGCTCATCAGGTATGCGTACCCGGTACTCCTCTGCCCACTCGTCTTCATACTTGTACACTCCGATGTTATATGTTCACTAGAGTCTAATTTGAAGCGTCTGGAGTGTGAATGGATAATCTTCATTGAAGAGCCCACAAATGAATCACAACTGTGATTTCTCATAGTTATTCGTGTCTGGGTCACTGCTAACCCAACGAACAACGAGGCTGCATGTGCAAGCGCTCATATTGATAGTAAGTAGTATGTTAACGGGTGGACAAAATTTCCCCGGAAGCACACGACCGGTTTCGCGGTTGTTGCCGCTCATCAGGTATGCGTACCCGGTACTCCTCTGCCCACTCGTCTTCATACTTGTACACTCCGATGTTATATGTTCACTAGAATCTAATTTGAAGCGTCTGGAGTGTGAATGGATACTCTTCATTGAAGAGCCCACAAATGAATCACAACTGTGATTTCTCATAGTTATTCGTGTCTGGGTCACTGCTAACCCAACGAACAACGAGGTTGCATGTGCAAGCGCTCATATTGATAGTAAGTAGTATGTTAACGTGTGGACAAAATTTCCCCGGAAGCACACGACCGGTTTCGCGGTTGTTGCCGCTCATCAGGTATGCGTACCCGGTACTCCTCTGCCCACTCGTCTTCATACTTGTACACTCCGATGTTATATGTTCACTAGAATCTAATTTGAAGCGTCTGGAGTGTGAATGGATAATCTTCATTGAAGAGCCCACAAATGAATCACAACTGTGATTTCTCATAGTTATTCGTGTCTGGGTCACTGCTAACCCAACGAACAACGAGGCTGCATGTGCAAGCGCTCATATTGATAGTAAGTAGTATGTTAACGGGTGGACAAAATTTCCCCGGAAGCACACATGACCGGTTTCGCGGTTGTTGCCGCTCATCAGGTATGCGTACCCGATACTCCTCTGCCCACTCGTCTTCATACTTGTACACTCCGATGTTATATGTTCACTAGAATCTAATTTGAAGCGTCTGGAGTGTGAAAGGATAATCTTCATTGAAGAGCCCACAAATGAATCACAACTGTGATTTCTCATAGTTATTCGTGTCTGGGTCACTGCTAACCCAACGAACAACGAGGCTGCATGTGCAAGCGCTCATATTGATAGTAAGTAGTATGTTAACGGGTGGACAAAATTTCCCCGGAAGCACACATGACCGGTTTCGCGGTTGTTGCCGCTCATCAGGTATGCGTACCCGATACTCCTCTGCCCACTCGTCTTCATACTTGTACACTCCGATGTTATATGTTCACTAGAATCTAATTTGAAGCGTCTGGAGTGTGAAAGGATAATCTTCATTGAAGAGCCCACAAATGAATCACAACTGTGACTTCTCATAGTTATTCGTGTCTGGGTCACTGCTAACCCAACGAACAACGAGGCTGCATGTGCAAGCGCTCATATTGATAGTAAGTAGTATGTTAACGGGTGGACAAAATTTCCCCGGAAGCACACGACCGGTTTCGCGGTTGTTGCCGCTCATCAGGTATGCGTACCCGATACTCCTCTGCCCACTCGTCTTCATACTTGTACACTCCGATGTTATATGTTCACTAGAATCTAATTTGAAGCGTCTGGAGTGTGAATGGATAATCTTCATTGAAGAGCCCACAAATGAATCACAACTGTGACTTCTCATAGTTATTCGTGTCTGGGTCACTGCTAACCCAACGAACAACGAGGCTGCATGTGCAAGCGCTCATATTGATAGTAAGTAGTATGTTAACGTGTGGACAAAATTTCCCCGGAAGCACACGACCGGTTTCGCGGTTGTTGCCGCTCATCAGGTATGCGTACCCGGTACTCCTCTGCCCACTCGTCTTCATACTTGTACACTCCGATGTTATATGTTCACTAGAATCTAATTTGAAGCGTCTGGAGTGTGAATGGATACTCTTCATTGAAGAGCCCACAAATGAATCACAACTGTGATTTCTCATAGTTATTCGTGTCTGGGTCACTGCTAACCCAACGAACAACGAGGTTGCATGTGCAAGCGCTCATATTGATAGTAAGTAGTATGTTAACGTGTGGACAAAATTTCCCCGGAAGCACACGACCGGTTTCGCGGTTGTTGCCGCTCATCAGGTATGCGTACCCGGTACTCCTCTGCCCACTCGTCTTCATACTTGTACACTCCGATGTTATATGTTCACTAGAATCTAATTTGAAGCGTCTGGAGTGTGAATGGATAATCTTCATTGAAGAGCCCACAAATGAATCACAACTGTGATTTCTCATAGTTATTCGTGTCTGGGTCACTGCTAACCCAACGAACAACGAGGCTGCATGTGCAAGCGCTCATATTGATAGTAAGTAGTATGTTAACGTGTGGACAAAATTTCCCCGGAAGCACACATGACCGGTTTCGCGGTTGTTGCCGCTCATCAGGTATGCGTACCCGATACTCCTCTGCCCACTCGTCTTCATACTTGTACACTCCGATGTTATATGTTCACTAGAATCTAATTTGAAGCGTCTGGAGTGTGAATGGATAATCTTCATTGAAGAGCCCACAAATGAATCACAACTGTGACTTCTCATAGTTATTCGTGTCTGGGTCACTGCTAACCCAACGAACAACGAGGCTGCATGTGCAAGCGCTCATATTGATAGTAAGTAGTATGTTAACGTGTGGACAAAATTTCCCCGGAAGCACACGACCGGTTTCGCGGTTGTTGCCGCTCATCAGGTATGCGTACCCGGTACTCCTCTGCCCACTCGTCTTCATACTTGTACACTCCGATGTTATATGTTCACTAGAATCTAATTTGAAGCGTCTGGAGTGTGAATGGATACTCTTCATTGAAGAGCCCACAAATGAATCACAACTGTGATTTCTCATAGTTATTCGTGTCTGGGTCACTGCTAACCCAACGAACAACGAGGTTGCATGTGCAAGCGCTCATATTGATAGTAAGTAGTATGTTAACGTGTGGACAAAATTTCCCCGGAAGCACACGACCGGTTTCGCGGTTGTTGCCGCTCATCAGGTATGCGTACCCGGTACTCCTCTGCCCACTCGTCTTCATACTTGTACACTCCGATGTTATATGTTCACTAGAATCTAATTTGAAGCGTCTGGAGTGTGAATGGATAATCTTCATTGAAGAGCCCACAAATGAATCACAACTGTGATTTCTCATAGTTATTCGTGTCTGGGTCACTGCTAACCCAACGAACAACGAGGCTGCATGTGCAAGCGCTCATATTGATAGTAAGTAGTATGTTAACGTGTGGACAAAATTTCCCCGGAAGCACACGACCGGTTTCGCGGTTGTTGCCGCTCATCAGGTATGCGTACCCGATACTCCTCTGCCCACTCGTCTTCATACTTGTACACTCCGATGTTATATGTTCACTAGAATCTAATTTGAAGCGTCTGGAGTGTGAAAGGATAATCTTCATTGAAGAGCCCACAAATGAATCACAACTGTGACTTCTCATAGTTATTCGTGTCTGGGTCACTGCTAACCCAACGAACAACGAGGCTGCATGTGCAAGCGCTCATATTGATAGTAAGTAGTATGTTAACGGGTGGACAAAATTTCCCCGGAAGCACACGACCGGTTTCGCGGTTGTTGCCGCTCATCAGGTATGCGTACCCGATACTCCTCTGCCCACTCGTCTTCATACTTGTACACTCCGATGTTATATGTTCACTAGAATCTAATTTGAAGCGTCTGGAGTGTGAATGGATAATCTTCATTGAAGAGCCCACAAATGAATCACAACTGTGACTTCTCATAGTTATTCGTGTCTGGGTCACTGCTAACCCAACGAACAACGAGGCTGCATGTGCAAGCGCTCATATTGATAGTAAGTAGTATGTTAACGTGTGGACAAAATTTCCCCGGAAGCACACGACCGGTTTCGCGGTTGTTGCCGCTCATCAGGTATGCGTACCCGGTACTCCTCTGCCCACTCGTCTTCATACTTGTACACTCCGATGTTATATGTTCACTAGAATCTAATTTGAAGCGTCTGGAGTGTGAATGGATAATCTTCATTGAAGAACCCACAAATGAATCACAACTGTGATTTCTCATAGTTATTCGTGTCTGGGTCACTGCTAACCCAACGAACAACGAGGCTGCATGTGCAAGCGCTCATATTGATAGTAAGTAGTATGTTAACGTGTGGACAAAATTTCCCCGGAAGCACACGACCGGTTTCGCGGTTGTTGCCGCTCATCAGGTATGCGTACCCGGTACTCCTCTGCCCACTCGTCTTCATACTTGTACACTCCGATGTTATATGTTCACTAGAATCTAATTTGAAGCGTCTGGAGTGTGAAAGGATAATCTTCATTGAAGAGCCCACAAATGAATCACAACTGTGACTTCTCATAGTTATTCGTGTCTGGGTCACTGCTAACCCAACGAACAACGAGGCTGCATGTGCAAGCGCTCATATTGATAGTAAGTAGTATGTTAACGGGTGGACAAAATTTCCCCGGAAGCACACGACCGGTTTCGCGGTTGTTGCCGCTCATCAGGTATGCGTACCCGATACTCCTCTGCCCACTCGTCTTCATACTTGTACACTCCGATGTTATATGTTCACTAGAATCTAATTTGAAGCGTCTGGAGTGTGAATGGATAATCTTCATTGAAGAGCCCACAAATGAATCACAACTGTGACTTCTCATAGTTATTCGTGTCTGGGTCACTGCTAACCCAACGAACAACGAGGCTGCATGTGCAAGCGCTCATATTGATAGTAAGTAGTATGTTAACGTGTGGACAAAATTTCCCCGGAAGCACACGACCGGTTTCGCGGTTGTTGCCGCTCATCAGGTATGCGTACCCGGTACTCCTCTGCCCACTCGTCTTCATACTTGTACACTCCGATGTTATATGTTCACTAGAATCTAATTTGAAGCGTCTGGAGTGTGAATGGATACTCTTCATTGAAGAGCCCACAAATGAATCACAACTGTGATTTCTCATAGTTATTCGTGTCTGGGTCACTGCTAACCCAACGAACAACGAGGTTGCATGTGCAAGCGCTCATATTGATAGTAAGTAGTATGTTAACGTGTGGACAAAATTTCCCCGGAAGCACACGACCGGTTTCGCGGTTGTTGCCGCTCATCAGGTATGCGTACCCGGTACTCCTCTGCCCACTCGTCTTCATACTTGTACACTCCGATGTTATATGTTCACTAGAATCTAATTTGAAGCGTCTGGAGTGTGAATGGATAATCTTCATTGAAGAGCCCACAAATGAATCACAACTGTGATTTCTCATAGTTATTCGTGTCTGGGTCACTGCTAACCCAACGAACAACGAGGCTGCATGTGCAAGCGCTCATATTGATAGTAAGTAGTATGTTAACGTGTGGACAAAATTTCCCCGGAAGCACACATGACCGGTTTCGCGGTTGTTGCCGCTCATCAGGTATGCGTACCCGATACTCCTCTGCCCACTCGTCTTCATACTTGTACACTCCGATGTTATATGTTCACTAGAATCTAATTTGAAGCGTCTGGAGTGTGAATGGATAATCTTCATTGAAGAGCCCACAAATGAATCACAACTGTGACTTCTCATAGTTATTCGTGTCTGGGTCACTGCTAACCCAACGAACAACGAGGCTGCATGTGCAAGCGCTCATATTGATAGTAAGTAGTATGTTAACGTGTGGACAAAATTTCCCCGGAAGCACACGACCGGTTTCGCGGTTGTTGCCGCTCATCAGGTATGCGTACCCGGTACTCCTCTGCCCACTCGTCTTCATACTTGTACACTCCGATGTTATATGTTCACTAGAATCTAATTTGAAGCGTCTGGAGTGTGAATGGATACTCTTCATTGAAGAGCCCACAAATGAATCACAACTGTGATTTCTCATAGTTATTCGTGTCTGGGTCACTGCTAACCCAACGAACAACGAGGTTGCATGTGCAAGCGCTCATATTGATAGTAAGTAGTATGTTAACGTGTGGACAAAATTTCCCCGGAAGCACACGACCGGTTTCGCGGTTGTTGCCGCTCATCAGGTATGCGTACCCGGTACTCCTCTGCCCACTCGTCTTCATACTTGTACACTCCGATGTTATATGTTCACTAGAATCTAATTTGAAGCGTCTGGAGTGTGAATGGATAATCTTCATTGAAGAGCCCACAAATGAATCACAACTGTGATTTCTCATAGTTATTCGTGTCTGGGTCACTGCTAACCCAACGAACAACGAGGCTGCATGTGCAAGCGCTCATATTGATAGTAAGTAGTATGTTAACGTGTGGACAAAATTTCCCCGGAAGCACACGACCGGTTTCGCGGTTGTTGCCGCTCATCAGGTATGCGTACCCGATACTCCTCTGCCCACTCGTCTTCATACTTGTACACTCCGATGTTATATGTTCACTAGAATCTAATTTGAAGCGTCTGGAGTGTGAAAGGATAATCTTCATTGAAGAGCCCACAAATGAATCACAACTGTGACTTCTCATAGTTATTCGTGTCTGGGTCACTGCTAACCCAACGAACAACGAGGCTGCATGTGCAAGCGCTCATATTGATAGTAAGTAGTATGTTAACGGGTGGACAAAATTTCCCCGGAAGCACACGACCGGTTTCGCGGTTGTTGCCGCTCATCAGGTATGCGTACCCGATACTCCTCTGCCCACTCGTCTTCATACTTGTACACTCCGATGTTATATGTTCACTAGAATCTAATTTGAAGCGTCTGGAGTGTGAATGGATAATCTTCATTGAAGAGCCCACAAATGAATCACAACTGTGACTTCTCATAGTTATTCGTGTCTGGGTCACTGCTAACCCAACGAACAACGAGGCTGCATGTGCAAGCGCTCATATTGATAGTAAGTAGTATGTTAACGTGTGGACAAAATTTCCCCGGAAGCACACGACCGGTTTCGCGGTTGTTGCCGCTCATCAGGTATGCGTACCCGGTACTCCTCTGCCCACTCGTCTTCATACTTGTACACTCCGATGTTATATGTTCACTAGAATCTAATTTGAAGCGTCTGGAGTGTGAATGGATAATCTTCATTGAAGAACCCACAAATGAATCACAACTGTGATTTCTCATAGTTATTCGTGTCTGGGTCACTGCCAACCCAACGAACAACGAGGCTGCATGTGCAAGCGCTCATATTGATAGTAAGTAGTATGTTAACGTGTGGACAAAATTTCCCCGGAAGCACACGACCGGTTTCGCGGTTGTTGCCGCTCATCAGGTATGCGTACCCGGTACTCCTCTGCCCACTCGTCTTCATACTTGTACACTCCGATGTTATATGTTCACTAGAATCTAATTTGAAGCGTCTGGAGTGTGAATGGATACTCTTCATTGAAGAGCCCACAAATGAATCACAACTGTGATTTCTCATAGTTATTCGTGTCTGGGTCACTGCTAACGCAACGAACAACGAGGCTGCATGTGCAAGCGCTCATATTGATAGTAAGTAGTATGTTAACGTGTGGACAAAATTTCCTCGGAAGCACACGACCGGTTTCGCGGTTGTTGCCGCTCATCAGGTATGCGTACCCGGTACTCCTCTGCCCACTCGTCTTCATACTTGTACACTCCGATGTTATATGTTCACTAGAACCTAATTTGAAGCGTCTGGAGTGTGAATGGATAATCTTCATTGAAGAGCCCACAAATGAATCACAACTGTGATTTCTCATAGTTATTCGTGTCTGGGTCACTGCTAACCCAACGAACAACGAGGCTGCATGTGCAAGCGCTCATATTGATAGTAAGTAGTATGTTAACGTGTGGACAAAATGTTACCGTAAGCACACGACCGGTTTCGCGGTTGTTGCCGCTCATCAGGTATGCGTACCCGATACTCCTCTGCCCACTCGTCTTCATACTTGTACACTCCGATGTTATATGTTCACTAGAATCTAATTTGAAGCGTCTGGAGTGTGAATGGATACTCTTCATTGAAGAGCCCACAAATGAATCACAACTGTGATTTCTCATAGTTATTCGTGTCTGGGTCACTGCTAACCCAACGAACAACGAGGCTGCATGTGCAAGCGCTCATATTGATAGTAAGTAGTATGTTAACGGGTGGACAAAATTTCCTCGGAAGCACACGACCGGTTTCGCGGTTGTTGCCGCTCATCAGGTATGCGTACCCGGTACTCCTCTGCCCACTCGTCTTCATACTTGTACACTCCGATGTTATATGTTCACTAGAATCTAATTTGAAGCGTCTGGAGTGTGAATGGATAATCTTCATTGAAGAGCCCACAAATGAATCACAACTGTGACTTCTCATAGTTATTCGTGTCTGGGTCACTGCTAACCCAACGAACAACGAGGCTGCATGTGCAAGCGCTCATATTGATAGTAAGTAGTATGTTAACGTGTGGACAAAATTTCCTCGGAAGCACACGACCGGTTTCGCGGTTGTTGCCGCTCATCAGGTATGCGTACCCGGTACTCCTCTGCC